CTTGTAAATGATTAAGTTGGTTGTGATAAAGAGGAAGTCCTGAACCGCCCGACGGTTCATGACGTCCCGGCACAATACTAGTAAATATATATATAAATTTGGTGACACGACTTTCACAGCCACAATATGATGAATTCGTGTACATGTATTAAGGCAAGACGTCTGCTGCAGTTCTCTCACCATTTATTTTTAGATCATGTAAAAATCGTCTAATCTTGGCATTTACTTTATGGAATGAAATAAAATGACAATTATGAATGAACTCCTCGTTTAATAAAATGTATCAAAATCAGTAACAAAAATTATTCAGTATAACATATTTTAGAAAATGCTTACAATTAACACTACTCCTAAGGTCATATGGGCAACCTTTAAAAAACAATCGCAAAAATATAAACAAGATCAATTATTTATTAATTATATAATCACTTTGGAACGTAATCAGTCTTCTTTACTCACTACAATTACAATTTTTCTCACTAACGATCTATTAAAATAATAAAAAATTAAAAAGAAATCAAAATTTAGGAACTCTTATTAATATAATATTATGTAATTCCTCCATACATTCTGGGCAATGAGGCACTTTGCAGGTCGAACACATGTATCGTGAATCCTTCCTTGTCTTTTTTTTTTGCATAATCTGCATTTTAGAAACATGTATTTTCTATTTGTTTCTGGGGCTGTCTTTTTCATTTCTGTAGGCCAATGCTCTTGAGAACTTATTACACATTGTGTGGTTAATGAACTTTGAGTAATTGGTACATCATTTGTTGTTGTTGTTCAAATTAACAGTATTTTTGAAAGTAACTAAATCTTTGGGAGAACATGGACCCAAATTGAATAATTGAGTAATAAGTTGGTCACGAAATCTTAAAAATTTAATTTTCTTTGTAGCTGTACTACATTGTTTGGCTAGATAAAAGCTGTTCCAGACTGCTATTTTTTTATTTATTCATTTCTCATTGAGTAACAAAACTCATAGTGTTAGTAACAATTTGACTTATAACTATTGTAATATTAAAAAATTAAAAAAAAATTGTTTTAATGTAATTGTGTGATGTTTATGTTATCTGTGTTCTAAACAAACGAATAAACTAACTGGTGGCACCACAAATCCTAACAAAACTAATAATCTCGGGCGCCAGGTGCCTTAACCTTAAATGAACACAGATAACTAACCACAAATACAAGGAATGCCTCGAACAGCTCGGTCAGCGCTAGACTTTTAATCTAGGATGGGGGGCAGCTATTAAATACAAAGATGTTGTAAGTTTAAGTGGCAGTTTATTATCCCATAGTGTCTGTAGAGTACATGGTATCTTAACCCTTAAATGCATAATTTTTCCTTTTTAAATGCAATAAATCGAAACAGGTAGATAATTAAACATAGATAAAGGCAAAAATAAAGAAAAAAAATTTTTTTTCCAAAAAATATATTTTTTTTAAAAAAACTTACTGATGTAGATCTACATCAGTATGCATTACAGTTAATATTAATAATGCAGCCTAAGTACTATGCTATAGGACGATTGTCGTCGAATTAGGCTTACTGCAGTGAATGAAAATCTTTGAAACAGTTATTTCTCTGATTTAGACACAATGGTACATTACATTTGGTACACGACCATTGTGTGGTGCCCTTACAATTGGGCATCTTGCACCGTCATCGATTGGCAAATACAGGCCAATGCTCGAATCCATCTACGCGCACATCTTTTGACGGGAGTGGATGTTGCGGACCTTTTTGCTTTTTTATTTGAAGCTCGCGTTCTAGAGAGGAAGTACTAGGCCGCCCTCTTTTACTACCTCCAGACATACCTATATTACACAGTGTGTCAGCCAAACAATTACGAAACTCTCCAAGATTAGGCAGTTGCTTTTTTGTGACGCCTTTAGCAGTTAGATTTTTTTTCATAAGCACCCATGAATTGATTGTAGCGAGGTCCAGTAGATGATAAAATAAGCGTAAATACCATTTCCGGCTCTTTATTCGAATTCGATAGCGTCCTAAAAAACTGTCCATCAGATCGACTCCGCCCATATGCATATTGTACTCTTGCACAATTTTGGGACAAGGGATGTCAATTTTTTGTTTAGCTTTCTTATCGTATCTTGATACTTTTCCAACAGGCTCGGCACCAACGTAAGTCGATAAAAGAGTGACGATTTTATTATCTTTCCACGCAGTGGCCGAAAAGTCTACTCCATCTGAATGGGAAACGCGTTCCTCATATGTACCTCTCGGAACAGAAGTTTTCATAAGTTCCTTTTTGTCAGGGAGTCGACAATTCGGTAGCCTGTTTTGCTGAATAGTTCCGACACATTGTATACCCTGTTTATTCAAATAATTTACCAAGGGCAGGGATGTGTAAAAATTATCAAAAAATACAATATGATTGTTCATCCTTGGTATAGCTCTCGCCAAACGTATAACGACGTTATTTGTTATTCCTAGATCAGGTTCGTCGGCTGGTTTGTCTTTTTTTTCTTCTTGACCAGAATAGACCTCAAATCCGTAAGCATATCCCATAAGACTACAGAGAACAAAAAGCTTATAGCCCCATTTGTGAGGCTTATTTGGTAAATATTGCTTTAGGAAATGTGCAATTTTAGTTGAACACATCTGCTCATCTATAGAAAGTCGTTGGTCTATTCCAACTGATGAAAATGTCTTATTTAGCTGTTCTATCACAGGCCGAATCTTATGGAGGCGATCGTGATCGGAATGATCTCGCGGAAGATGTTTATTATTATCGTTGAAATGTAAGTAGCTCCTAATCATCTCAAACCGATTTACAACGTAGCCAAACTTGGAATGCCAGTATGAGCGTACACTAGGGAATTGTTCTACTGACATAAATAAAAGAATTCCTATGAATTTTTTTAACTCCCAACAGTTATAGTGAAAGATATTGAAGGGTTTTTCTGTACTGCATATAACTTAGTTTCATCAACAATTTTTTGAAGAAACTTAGGTGTGAAGTAGTGCAAAAAACATTTATATGGTGTATCAAGTTCAGTTATAGCAAACTCTGTTGTACTTGGTTGGTAAATTATTTTTGATTCGTCAAACAACAAACTGTCTTTTTTCCAAATGAGTTTCCTTTTATTAAATTCTACATATTGTTGATGACCTTCTTGCATGGGCAATGAAATAAAAATTTGACTTGATGGGCCAGGCAAATCTTGAACTAGTGGTGGATCACTATAGGTAGGATCTTCATGGTCCTCTGCATCCTCGTCTTCCAACTCTTGAACTATTTCTCTTGCATTAGCGAAAAGGTTTCTTCATCTTCACTTTCATCTTCCAAGCCATCCTCAGAAATATTTCCATCTTCCAAAGCTGCCAGAAGTTGTTCTAATCTTTATCTGCCACTTTACGGGACATTCTGGATAAATAATTATAAAATTCGTATGAATAAATTATGTATATGCATACAAATAAGTCAAAAATAAAAAAGTATATTATACCTACAGTAAAACTATTTCTTGCCGATTTTGCATACTGATGTATTTCTACATCACAATTATACTGCTGATATTTACAAAAATTGTTACTGTATTCTAAAAAAACAATAATGCAAAGTGTTCTGCTTACCTTTATCCTCTCGTAAGTCACTTTTATCACGTAATAATACTATTTAGTATTCACTAAAATAAAATTACAATTTGACCGCCAAAATGGGTATTAGAAAATGTGGCGCCAAGCTGTCAAATTATGACAATTAAAAAAGTGAACTGCCATATCGTGAAAGCTTGCGTTCAAAAACTAAAATAAATATTTTTAGCACCTATTAAAAGTAAAAAATACTGTGTTTGAGTTATCGTTTAAAAATTATGTAAGGACAAAAACACTGATGTATATATACATCATCATGCATTTAAGGGTTAAAGTTCTAATTACAATATGTAATTCTTATACTCAAATTAGTACTGTCGTTAATGCAATCTGTTTAACTGAATAAAACAAACTAAAATTAAATATGTTTTGAAGAGTCACATAAAGACTTAATAAATAGGAAATGAATCTAAGGGTAGTTTAACAACGCCAATAAAATTAATGTAATAAAAAAACATACCTAATGACTTTGGCTCTGTCCGTATGAAATTAGGGCAAATCAATTCTAATAAATCTCACTCGTGCTCCCACGTGGTTGTAGTGGCGGGGTAAGTATTCCAAGGTTCCTGATAATGGACTGCAGCTAAACAGCTTTTTCTACCATTATAGGGACGCTCCGCAGCCAACTAAATCCTTGGATCGGGCCGGTAGTGAGTTAAAAACCAATTGTAACGTAAGGACATTACAATCTAATAAGAGAATTAAACTAAAGGTTAAACAAAGATCTGAAGTAAGGTAAGGAAAATAAGGTATAAATAGAACCCTGTTATCTGAAACAATGAAAATTATAGGTTATTTGCCTATCTCAAAAGATGAATCCTAAATCTGGTAAGATACAAAAATTTACTCACCAGGGTTCCAAAACGTTTCACAAACAAAGCAGCGGCATTATAATTAATTCCTGTAACCAAATAAACAAAGATTTAAAACTACTAATCTCCATAAGCCAAGCATGAACCATGCGGCTTAACAAGACTTACCTTTACAATGAAAATATCAATTCCAACAAATAACTCGTGTCATTAACGAGACTGGCCAAACATTAAAAGATGAATTATGCCTTAGATTACAGCAAACAAATATGGATTAATAATATAAAAAAAATATATCGCCCCGCGTACTAGTTTCACACGGGCCGAGGACCAAAGTGACGGCCATCTTGCCATAGCCAAAACGCCGCCCCTTCCATAAACGCGTCAAAAATATGTTGCCAGAACGAGAAAAACTAAATCGACACATTACCATAGACGATCAGCACCGACTATTATTCTCGTCCGTGACACCGTCAATCGGAGCTCACTGAAACGTCATAAAATTCGACCGTCAAACCAAAAACGCGTCGATAAATAAATTTTCTGTAATGGTGCGAAATGCACTGTTACACTATGTTAGTAAATGACGCTATATCTAGCATATGAAAAAATACTTTTTTGTACCACCGTATTTTTTTACGCGGACACGAGTAATATGCAATCATCTGGTCTGCTCTGTCAATACCAGACATGTGTCTGTTATACACTTCAACTTCAACTGGCTTGATCTTCTTTTGTCCGTACCTATTATTCACTTCCTTCAAATGTGGGTGGTCTCTTGTTGTTATCATAAGTACCTGTCGCTGATCCTGCCACTTTGACACATATACTTGACCATGCCTTTTCCAAATGTGTTTCCCTCTCTTTAGTTTCTGAGTGACTACATGTTTTTGTTTCCCTTTCGATTCACCCCTTGGAGTGCCATTGGTATAAGTTTTAGCATTGAGTAACTTTTTCGACAATGTAACGCTGTTATAATAGTTGTCCATATATAAATTATGTCCTTTATACAAATGAGGTCTAAATAGTCGAAACACGGTTTGTTCAAGCTTACTTGCATCTGTCTCAATTGGTTCAATATTATGATCCTTGCCGCAATACATGTAAATATTCAATACATACCCATCAGCAGTTGTCAACTCATAAAATTTAATGCCGTATCGAGCTTTCTTGCTTTTTATATACTGTCTAAAAACTAATCGGCATCGGAACAGCATGAGAGATTCATCTAAGAACAGGTCTATGTCAGGAGAAAAACCTGTTTCTGAAATGTTCAGTGAGCATATCTATGAAGTTTACAATTTTATCTTTTCCTTTAGCTTTCGTATCACTAACACACACGCATCGTAGTGTATCTGCTCAAATAGACGTTCTGACATAACATACTGAAATATTGGGTGATAGTACAAAACATCAGATTGGGTGAACAGTTTCCGTTTTATCGGTGCACTAATTTGACCTTGGAAAAGAATATACCTAAAAACTTTTCAATTTTTTTACGGGTAGTCGGTTTGAAATATTTTTTTCGGCTGTGTCTTGTGTTGGTCGTGTCTGCTGGCATAATTTTTACCATATTTGTTAGTATACTCAACAATATTGTCCATAATATGTGGAGGGAAAACAAGACGAAAAATATCAAGAGGTGAGCTTCTATCAGTTATATCTATTTTTATACCTACTGAGTTCCTGTCAAAATCAAAATTAGGAATATCTGCAACATCGTCTTCCCACTCATAGTCTGACGGTAGAGAGCTAGTATTTGCATAAACCCTGCTTGTGGAGGGTAGAGATACGGTTCTATCTTGATCGTTAGTAGTTTTTGAGATGTGTTTTATTAATATAAGGGATATTTGTCATTGGTGTTGTTTGTGGAAAAATGGAAAACTTGTAAATGTCTTTGATTGTTATGAAGATTGTTTAAGCAGTTGGGCTTTTCTGTACTCAATACTCTGTTAGAGTGGTCCTCTATTGTCTCGAAATATAATTAAATAAAATTAAAACATATTTCAAAATCTGTAATAAACATTAAGAAAGTAGCCGATTCATTTTTAATTTTATTAGGTAACTACAAGGTTTTTGCCAATCAAAATAAATTGTCAAAAAAATGTATTTAGAGTCCAATAGAATTACAACAGGTAGGTATACCGTTATACAGTGGTATAAAACCAATAACGCGAATGTCTATTATTCGGCTTTCGTATAACGTAGATATTCATCACCTCTTCGTCCTTGTAGATTGTTTATGAATGTCACAAAAAACAGGCAATGTATCATAAACACATCGCGCAGCTCGCGGGCTGTTAGTGCCTAGGGCGTATTGCGTAGGCTTACGGGCCTCTACATCCTTTGTGGCCGGCTAGTACGCCCAGTGCTGCCAGCTCGAATTTTGAAAAAGACGTAGGCCAGATTAAAAAATTACGTAGAAATAGTCAAATTTCCCAATAGAAAATACGTAGATCTACGTACTTTTTTTCTGACTGAATTGACAAGAGTAGGATAGGTAAGAGTGAATAAAACGACAATTTATATGACCATTAAAGTAGCAGACAGCAGACAAACAATAAATATAAAACAAATTTCCGTTTGCATACAAAAAAATCTATGAATTACCACTTGTAATTGAAAAAAGTTTGCTACTTTCAGAGTCATCATTAATTTATTTAAATTATTCAATTTTTATTTTCATTTTGAGACAAATTAAATTTGTACATATTTTTATTTAAATATTTAATGTGTTCTTGCGAAGGCTCGCGGTTTCTTTATAAGCCACTTTTCGTAAAAAGTAAGCCTGTTAGCGTGTCAGTGTGAAGTCTGTTTCTTATATTCTTGATCTTCAAATTGATCGCAGAAAACAGACGCTCAACATTTGCACTGCTATGTGGCAATGTTAATAAATTTTGTGAAAATTGGGCCAATAAGGGAAACATTTGACACGAACCGCCTTTTCTTATTTTGGAAATATGGCGCCAAAACTCATCTGCTTTGATTAGCTGATCCTCTTGAAATGGAAGATTAGTGTTTCTTAGCGTTCTCCATTCCCGGTCTAATTCTGTCAAATTTGTTGGACATAATCCTGAAAATAAATTATTAATTGAAAACTAAGTAAGATGCTGACTCAACTCATAAATGAAATTTAAGTTAATGATAATCATATTACCTGGAAACATTAGGCCTAAATGAGCTATAGATGGTACAGAACGTTTTAAATTTGAGTCCAGTAATGTGTCAGGGTTTAAAAACCTTAAATTTTTCAACCTTTGTCTGTGCTCATCTTCAAAGGGGAAGCGATTTTTTATTTGATTGAGACTTTCAATATAAAATTCAAGACATTTTTGTCTTAACTGTATTATTTGATCTGGACGAATACTGTTTTTGTTCATTATAATTAAAGCAGCAACATTGCCTCCTAAGTAGACGTCTTCCAGGGGTAAAAGGTTTTCAATATTTTCTAGAAATCAATTTTCAATATTTTCGTTTCCAATGCTGCAACTTTGTCATGGACATGAATGCTTGTTTTTTCCTGTTCAGTTAATTCCAAATATTCTGGCTTCAAAAAACATTCTAATATAGTCTTGTAGGTTATAAAAAAAATTTCATATAGCAAGTTTTGGGCTTTCAGATTGCATTTCTTTGTTCAAATAATTGAAGTATGGCAACACAAAACTTAAAAACTCTAAATATAATTCTGTGGTTGGTTCCATACATTTATCAAGGATTGACTGAGCTGCAAGCTATCTGTCGGTTAACACAGCACTTTGGAAATATAGTTTCAATGCTGGGAGTTGTTCTAGAAGCCTTTTCACAACTTGTAACTAGGACAGCCACCTTGTTTGGGCAGGGTGTAATAGTTTGTATGGTTTAACATTTACAAAACATTGAAACTCTTTGTAGTCTCCAATGCGTTTTGGACTATTCTGTATGTAGTTATACACATCACGAGCAAAGTCCTCCACACCTCGTGGTAACTGTATGCAAGCATACGAGACACAAAGGTGAAAAGAGTGACATATACATTTCATTAAAAACAGATTCGGAATATCTTTTGCAAACAATGTAGACAGAGAATGATGTTGTCCAAACATGGAATTAGTTCCGTCAGCTGCAAATCCAACTATATTTTCTTTGTATGGAATAGTCTTCTCTTCAAAATGTTTTGTACATGCATTATGTAGGTAGGGCTGTAGCCGTACCATCAACAACTGGTATTAGACATAGAAAACTATCTTCAACTTGAAAATCAACTGCAGTTCTTACAATAAGTGCCAAATGTTTAGTTGATGATCTGTCTGTGCTCTCATCAACTATAAGTGAAAACTTATTTTTTTGTAATGTTTCAATTAATTGGTTTTCTGCTACTTTACCAGTAACATTGGTAACAATAGCATGTGCCTTTGTTCTTCCAAAAGTTAATTCTGATGCAAGATTTGAATCTTGGGCAACTGATTGTATAAGATCCTTTAGATCGTCTGCTAAACTAAATTTTAGACTGTGCTCTGCTAGGCAGCATGCCATCTTTATTTCTCCAGACTTAATTTTATCTGTGAATGACTTTGATGCACAGTCGGGCAACATTGAAGTAACAGTAGGTTGAAGTACTGCAGCATTAATAAGACTGTACATTTATTTATCATGCAGGTTGGCTGTAGAAAATATAATCCTGAACACTGAAACTGAAAACATAACCTCACATCAGAAAATTAAATAACTTTACATTTAAATACTAATCACAATAATAAAGTAAAGGAATATTTACATTACCTAATTGACTAATTCTTTCTAACACATTATTAAAAAAACAAATATACGTATAATTTAAAACAAAAAAAAAACACGCCAGTAGAGTAGAAAAGACCAACCTTTAATACTATTCATATGTTTAATAGATTTGCACAGTTTCACTGGTGTAGATCACTGAAAATAATAAATAATATTAATGAAACTAACCTGTATTTTTTCTTATTATGAAATTATTATACCTTGTTTTTCTTCAATACTGGACTCTACATTTTCATCACTTATAATCACTACAATTGATTCTATTGAGCTATGGCCAGCATCAGGGTCTTCAAATATTGTTGTTGTTGTATTTGTCATCAGTAACAGGTAAATGTTTAGTGAATTGTCATCATATACTCTCCACTATTGTTAACTTTTACTTACCACTACATCACTAAACACGTAAACATTTCGATTACATTACTCGAATTACGCGCGCCGTCCAGTTATACTCATACGTGCTAGCTCGGTAGTTGTTCCAAAACATAACATTAATAATTGGATTGTGAACATGCATTCAAAAAAATACAAGTCGGAATATTTAAATACCTTTAAATAACTAAACTTTAAATTTTACCCCTACAAATAACAATTCATAAAATATTTTTCTTTATATTTCGTAACAACATTTTGTTAAAAAGGAAAGGCGCGTAGAACGCTGAACGAATGAATGAATAATTTAAATATTTTGTTGCTTATAATCTGTGGAAAATATTTAGACCAGAGACGATCTTTGGTACTAAGTAGTCCTTTGTTGGTCTACGATTTGTAATACGAATGAAAGAACTAACGTTAGTACCGTAATAAGCTTAGACCTTTTAGTCCTGGTTTAAACCTGGTACTTATGGAAGTTTTTATAATAAGACGGAACGAGTTTCTCATCATGTAAAAGTACTATATTAATCAGCCTTTTTTTTTAAAACAATCTCCTGAACAGTCAAATATTTTATCAACTGGCGTGAGTCCAACACACAGTTCATGATACCAAATGCCACAGGTAAGACATTGTCGCATATCATCAACTCGATCTTCATTACAAGCTGGACAGTACCACGAAGGTTGATTATCGTGACGGTTTGGTTTAGATCCCATAAGCTTATCTGCTGTCAAAGAAGCAGTCTTTACTGAGGTTTGCTTTCGCGTTGCAGGCTGATTTTGGTCTCTTTGTGTTAATCTTTATCATGGAAGAAGTACCACGAACATCTTCTACTCTTGACGATGGTACAGTAGTAATCTGTGATGTGGAATTCGTAGCATTGTCACCAAACAAATCTTTTGTTACCTCTTGAGCCCGGTAATTCAGAGACTTCTTGCGTGGAGCAGTCGCTTTAACTTTAAACTTAGGAGTTGGTAAAAATTCATGAATCTCACACGTGGTTGATTGATTGTCTATCTTATGTGGAGTTCCAGCATTCGGATTGTTTTTTGAGAGCAAGGACAGTGGCAAATTCTCAGTATGTGTGCCTGACCCATCTGAATCTTCCACATTTGCAGATGAAATCTCTTGTTCCCCCGATTCATGAGATAAGACAGCAATATTCTCACTGTTTGTAGGATTTGAAAGTTCTGACAACGCAGAGGACGCAAACGCCTCTTCAGGAATAGCATCTGGGTTATATGGATACAACCCTGTAGCGCGAAACCCATTCGAGATATTGGTAATAGTCATACATTTCGGCCATACTTGGGAGAGAATGACATTGAAGCTTGTCTTGTTAAGGGTTCGTTCGGGATGCTGACTGACGTATTTAATCAACTCTTGGTCCCAATGGTGCTCAAAAGAACGATAAACAGATTTATCCATGGGCTGTAATTCATGCGTGGTATTTGACGGAAGACAATATAAAGTAATGCCACATTTCTCAGCTTCCTCGACAATAGTAAAGTCCAGGTGGCATTTTGCACCATCACATATGAGGAGACATGGCCCTGATGTTCTGTATTTATGCAAATGATTAATAAAACCTATGAAAGTTTCTGTCGTCATACTTCCTTTTGGCGTCATCTTCACCAGAGAGCCTGGAGGTAAATTATCTTGGAATTCTGGCTTTAGTCTCTTGCCTTTGACCAGTATCATTGGCGGAATAGCTGATCCTATAGCATTTCCGCAGCCTACCACAGTCACACTTTCAGGATGCTCATTTGCTATTTGATGAACTCTCTTTCTCCCTTTGGCTGTCAGAACTTCCTGCTGATGGTGCAAAGATATGCGACAATTTTTTTCATCGATGTTGTAAATGCTTTCAGGTTTATGTTCAATTCCAAGTCTATCCACCACGCTTTTGTATTTGGAAAAGTGATCGCCAACAATTTTATTTTATTTATTTATTCTTTATTGTACACACTGAACACATACATATATATAAGTAACAAGGAAATGTCATGTACAAAGGCGAGCTTAACCCAAAACTGAGTTTTCTTCCAGCAAACCTTGAGCGAATAGAGGACAACAGAGAAACGTAAGGGCACAGTCATGCGTACGTAGGAATCAACACAGAAAAGCATAAAAATTAAATAAATACCGACATAAATTAGGATAGCAAAATATATTATACGTTTACAAACATATACATATATATATATATATATATATATATATATATATATACACACATACATACATACATAAATACCAAGGGTCTGATTATTGAAGGGACAGATAATAATCCCTGGTTCTCCTCCTGAACACGCTAGGAGAAGGGCTATTGCTATATTATTGCTAACAATATCTTTATTCAATTTTTGAGCACGAGCTGGATTCATCATCTGTGCTTTACGACGTGCTAATTCAGGGTGTCGTTTGAGAAATAACCTCAATCATTTCTTCCCGGCAGCATTTTTGGCGTCATTGAAAGCGTTTGGAATTTTCTTAATTTTACAGAATGAAAAAGCCTGTACGCATAACATCTTTGAAGTCATAGGCACTCCAACATCAGCCAAACGTATGATTCTTCTGACAAGTCCAGCTTCTTGTTCTGTATTCAATATAGCCGACCGACCTACGAGGGAGCGTTTTTATGTCGCGGAATGGGGGATAAGGGGTGGAAATAAAAAAAAACAAATTATTTTTCCTTTTCAATAAATTCACCTGCAAGACGGATACATTTTTCAGATCTTTCAATTAATTTGTTTATACCCTCATAAAAAAATGTTTTTTGTCTTCAAAATACGCCGAAACTGCCTCCTTGACTTCATCATCGTTGATAGTTTTTTTACCCCGCAGCTCTTTTTTCATTTTTGGAAACAGGTAATAATCGCTGGGGTCCAGGTCTCGGCTGTAGGGTGGGTGATTCAAAATATCGAAGCCCACCTTATGCAGGGCAGCCAACGCAACGCGGCTCTTGTGGACGGGCGCGTTGTCGTGCAAAAGCAACACACCTTTTGTCAATTTTCCCCGTCTTTTCTCTTTAATGGCTTCTTTGAGTCGCTCTAATATTAAAGCGTAGTATTCTCCGGTTATAGAAACACCTTTATCTTTATAATCGATCAATAACATTCCTTCTGAGCCCCAAAAGACCGTTGCCATGAGTTTCCCAGCTGACTGTGACACCTTAATCTTCTTGGGAGGTGCTGTGCCCTTTTTATGCCACTGCATGGAGTCTTGTTTCGACTCAGGTTCATAATGATGAAGCCAAGTTTCGTCTCCAGTAACAATTCTACTCAATACAGCATCCTTGTCTTCATTACAAAGGTCTAAAAATGCACATGAACACTCTACGCGCTGTTGTTTTTGCGTCGGCGTGAGCATTCTCGGCACCCATCTTGCACTGACCTTTGTCATGCCAATGATCGTGCAGAATTCTAAAAATGGTTGTATCAGATACTCCAACCATTTCTGCGAGTTGTTTCTTCTTTAGTCGAGCATCGTCGAGTACATTTTTTTCGACTTTTTGGATAAGTTCTGGCGTGATCACCTCGATGCTCCTGCCCGGCCTCGGGTCGTCTTCAAGGGATTCCCTTCCTTGTTTAACTAAACTGTTCCATTTGTACACCATGGTTTTTCCTGGACAAGAGTCGCCGTAAACCAATGACATCTCATTCATTATGATCGCAACTGATTTTCTTTGCTTGGTAAGGAACTTTATAACGGCACGATATTCGATTATTTCCATGTTTCACTTTTCACTCCCGATTATGTTGCTTGGTTGACGATAACTCCAAGACTAATTGTCTAATAACAATGAAACCTGGTATTTATACTAATTATGAGTCACTGAATACGTGACGATTCTAATGAGCCTAATCACCCCCCTCCAACCCTCTTATTCCGCGAACTTAAAAACGCACCCTCGTAGCTTTCGTGTAGTCGAACCACTCTCTTGATGGTTGCGTAGGGTTCTTCTTGGGATGTTGTATCTGGCTGCAGCAGCATATGTAGATAATATACCCCTTTCTACCATTTATTTCCCTTTTTTTCATTGTGGTAGAAGCTGGTGATCCGTTTTCCATGATGTTACTGAAAACAAGGGTTTACTATTTCACTGTGATACTTTTCTAACTGACATAAAACATTGTCCTAATAAGGCCTATACCTGTGCCCTAATAAGGCTTAAACATTTTTTTTTTATAGGCTTTATTAGGGCATCGCACATGGGTAAACTAAACAACAGTTATATGGAATACACCGATATTACAGCTTTTTCACTTATGTGAGGAGATGACTAAACGTATAATAATCCTATAGACAAAACACAGCACACCGTGTACGAATAAAAATAAAAATACTTACTGTTTACTCTGCCAGAATTTTCGTGGCTGTTTTCGACTGCAGGTTCCAACACGCTCGCGGCACGGGCCGCTTGCTGTGCTTGTGTGCGTTAGTTAATGTACACGCACACTTCTACAAACATTGGCGGCCATTGGAAATCGTGAAGCGGGAAATTTAAAACATAGGCCTTATTAGGACATAGGCTTTATTTGGGTTACCCACCTTAATACCAATAGTCCCTTCTAGTCTGTTTGAAGTCGGTGCCAAGCCAAATAGGTGCTTGATAGGCATGGTAGAATGTAGCGCGGCAGCTGCAACAGTCTTTATGCTGCGCAAAACATGTTGAACGAACTAAATCGCACATCTCCAATTATATTATTATTTTGAATGCTTTAATAAGTAGTTGATAAGTTTGCGCACGTAATTGATCTGGTTGGTCTTTATTAATTAACAAAATCTTCGATGTTTCATTAGAATTATTTTGAATTCTTAATTTTTCATTGTGCTAATATAAAGCTGACATAGACCAGTATTACTTATTGTGCATCGAGCTTGGCACCGACTTCAAACAGACTAGAAGGGACTATTGGTATTATAATGTTACCTGTTACATTGAGGGTACTTATTATAGTTTTTTACTTAGATTTGTAATTATTTTTTAATTTTTAGTGCTCTTTGTCGGTGTTGTTTGAAGTCGGTTCAACTTTTTTTTAAAAGGGTTTATTTTACCATTTTTAGTGTAGGATATGAAAATGACATTGGCGTCCAAACTGAGAAACAACAACTGAAACAAGATCAGCTTAAATTCTTTTCTAAGAAACAGTCAAATTCTTGTGAGTTGCAACCGAACAAAATAACTTCCGATTCAATTGACACTGATCTCGAAGATGAAGATAGGGAAGCTTTAGTGAGACTACTCAACAAATATGCTCAAAATTTTATAGAAGGAGTTCCAACTAGAAGGGTTAATACTGGTATGTTAGAAATTAACCTAGTTGACCCACACAAAATTTAAGAGTTTTTTCCAGAACTGTTTTAATAAATTAAGTATAAAATTACTTACAAACGAAATGCGATGCCATCCATAGCAACAAAACGTCTATCCGAATTATTTTAACAAGATAGAATACAAAATTTCAACCTTTTCTTCTTAATGCAACGAAAATTACTGTGGTGACATAAATACTGCAAGTTCTCTGCGCTCCACATCGCGCAGTCTCTGACGGTTGCCATGGTTTGTTTGGCCAAAGAAATACTCGTAGCTAAAACACGTTGTCGGGGCTGTTAAATTCCCAATAATTGTGAGGGTTTCCCTCGATTTCTCTAGGATCCCATCATCAGATCCTGAATTGGCGGTAATGGGACCAATTCGGGAGCATATCCTTTCGATTACAAAAGAATTTTGAAAATCGCGTAACAAACATACATAAAAAAAATACAGACAAATTGAGAACCTCTTTTGTGTTTTGGAAGTCGGTTAAAAAAAAATACAAAATAAAACTCACACTCGCAACCCACCTTTATGCTTGTCCGAACTTTTCGGACGTCGCCGTGTCGTTCGAAATGCGCTACGCATGGACGACGTGCTCTCACTTTAAATCTTCTTGTGGCACTGAAGTCTTTCTTCCGCTGGTCTTCACACCGTCCCGCAGGGGACGCGTGGTGGCTGGATCGGGGCTTTAGCCCCCCGCCAGCAGTGTCTATCGCTACCCCTAAACAGGGGTAGGTCGTGGGATGTCGTTTGTTCTGGATGTTTATTTGGGGGGGTTACCGATCTTCACGCCGCCTCGGCGGTCGAGCCCGAGCCAGGTGAGACCCCAGGCGGTACCTGGGGAGGCCCAGCTCCGGGCGACCAGCGACAGAGGCGGCGGCTTACTCGGCGACCCCTCTGGTGTCTCGTCCGGGATTTTTATTTAAATTTTCGCTTATTTGGGTCGATCCGCACCGCTTCGCGGTCTGCGGAGCACCCTGTCGTGTTGTTTTTGTTGTGGCGGCGGTCGTCCCCGCCTGCGCACGATGTTCCTATTTGGGCTAAATAGGCGCAGGTGCTCGTAGTCCGGTGAGGGCGGTCGCAGCAACAACAGGTCCTGTAAACATACAATACGACGGGTGCATTATATGTGGTTTGATTGTGGGAGTTCGTCGTCGTCCCGCCGCAGGGGCAGACCAAGGTCTGCCCCTGTGGCGGGGCACAGGCGAACTAGAGAGGCAATAGAGGCTGGGTCGGGACTGTCGATACCCGGGGGTCGGTGGACCGCCTTCCTTCCGGGGTTTCTCTAGTCCGCAACAAGGTCGCGCGGTAATCTCCTTCTGTCTGGGGGTCGAGCGTGCCACGGCGCCAGGTCCCGGATATGACTCCAGGACGAGGTGTCGGCACGCTCGAACATGGCGGCCGCGAGTCGACGTATGTGTGCGTCCAGGCTCTCCATCTTGAGGTCTCTCG